TATAGTGTGTGTTATAAAGGCTGTTTAGTTTAAAGTGACTGTGGAAATTCTGTGTATTACAAAGTTGTATCGAGAAAATTAAACTGGTTTAATTAAGAAAAGACTTGTATGGCTAAAGTTCCTCGGAAATTTATACCGAAAATTAACAAACGAGCAGATAAGCAACAGTTTAAAGCAGACAAATGTTGGAAGTTGTGTTTATAATTCATTGATTTTGAGACTATCGAATGTCGCGTGCATTATAATGACGTCGAGAATATAGAGATTTCTAGAAGGCGGGCAGACGATTAAGTGATAAACATATAAATAGGGCGAGACGAGCGGAAATAGCAGACAGACAGAGCAAACGAGAGACCAGAGAACGGGAAGTAGAAGTGCAAACAAATAAAAGGTTAGAAAACGAAAGATAAACGTCGTAGGAGTGGATAGCTTAATGGTTGATATGTTAAAGTGAGATTAACAGTTTTCTGACACTTTAGGAGAATAATTTGTTTCATCAAATGATTTTCTAAACCAGTTGAACCTGCCTGTATGAACTTTGGCAAAAAGCAGACAATTATTGGAAGTAGGCTCAAATACGAAAAAAAAACAAACAAACAAACAAAAAAAACAGACAGGCAAAGAAAGAAAGAGCAGACGAAAATTAAAGTTACCAGAAGGAATTCCGCCAAAGAAAAGTTAAACGCAAAGTTAATCGTCATAAGAGTGGAAGGTCGAACGACTAATATTAGGCCTACCGGTTTATATATTAGAGTGAGACTAATGGTGTTGAAAGAGATAAGAAGAATAGTTTATTTCGTCAAAAAGAGTTCTAAAGTAATTGAACTAGCCTCAGTGGACTTTGACAAATAGATAAACGATTCTTGGAAATACAAAGAGAGAAAAGGAGCAGCCGATTTTAGAAGTATAGGACACAACCGTGGTAACTCGACGATAAAGTAAGTTAACTATACTTGTATGGTTTGGCGATAGTAATAGAGAAAATAGTTCGGCTTGTCAACTGAAATTCTGAAGCAATTGAATAGGCCTAAGTGGACTTTTGACAACAAGATGACAACTATATAGTGTTTATGATAGGCCTATAATCTCTATACTGTAAAGAATTTGTTGTACATACGTTTAACCATATATATTTATATATTATTTTGAAAACAAGTGGATTGAGTGCTGTTCGTATATTTTTGAATTTATTGCCAACAAGTCACATACACCTACTGTAGAAAAATCTTAAGCCTAACAACAATAACACAGTATATATTTATATAACTAAGAAGTATATGTAAAAGCCTCTAATTGCCAATTGGCCTACATAACTTAACATCTGACATTTATAAAAATATATATATTAATTGACTCATTTGCTCATGCTAGAACAACAAATAAAGCATTTTTCCTTTTAGGAATGGTGTCTTTCGGGTTGTTTGAAACAAATATTGTTTAGTTGATCATTCGTCATTATTCCTAATTGGATGGAATATTGCACATGCATTATTAAAAAGTGGACATTGTAAAATGGAGTGCATTATCTAGTGCTTTCTTCACACTCAAGACTGAATGCATTTAACGTATCGTGAATTGATTTAAATAAAAGCGCTGATAACAACTGGGTGCAAAGCTAATTATTCTATTAAAAAAAAGAAATGGGCGGTTTATATCAAGCAAACACTTGCATGGGAGACATAATTCATGGAAATTTATGTGGAATACGCTATGAGTCAACACCTCAGAAAATATTGAAAAGTCCTATGATCGTGGTATTAAAATTTACATTTAATAATACTGTTGAAGTAGATTGCAAAATTCGGTAGCAATAAAGCATCAATAAGGTATCCAGCCGTTGGAAGAGCTTATTGCAAATTAGAATTAACAGGATTTTCAGCAAATTGATTTTGGTTTTTGATGTATATATCTCTATTGCAAAAACTGATGGATGATTTATTGATCATTGAAGAGCATGTTCCGAAAGGTTGCCTTTTCTGAACAGATATTCTTGTGACTTATCCCAACTACTTCCGAATTTCAGAGCTGCTAAACACAACAGCAACACCGATATGAAAATAAAGATTTTTACTGAGGCGATATCTTATGATTTAAGTGCGGTAGTTTCAACTAAATCAGATTTAATACTCTAAACGTTGTAGAAAAAAAACTTTATATATATATAAAGTTGTTTTTTTTTAAACACAGATTTCAGTTTATCATTGCATTAAATCTTTCTGATGTGACAGGCATGGCATGGTTTTAGAACAATTGTCGTATAAAAACTGCAGAAAATATCAGCTTTTGTGTATGTATCAAGACAAAGTTTTGCAAAACTGGAGTAATGTTATTATTATTATAGAGTTTGTGAGTGGTTTGGAAACGTCACAAAGAACCTCCCCCCATAAGACTGTGTGAACTGGTAAGATTGTTTTAGTTAAGACGATAATGAGCTTCGCATGGTAGAATCTTGTATTTCACAAGACAATCTACCATCTGTTGTGAACATTGTACACACACATATATATATATAAACTAATATAAACGCACCAAGTGATACTACAATAATTTATATTTCATTTTGACAATTCGTGGCACACCAGCAATGATAAGTTAACACGTCAAAACAGTATTAAATATTACAATTGAGTTAAAACTATTAAATTTAGAGTACAGTATATGTCAGTTAAAGTGCGTACTTCGTGAGAAGACAACTGCTTCAGTACAAACTGTGTAGGAATGTGAATAAGGGGATCCAAGGCTCGCAACCCGTTGCCTTAGAAACGCGCTCCACACATTGGGGCTATGAGTGTGCTATAAGAGTGACAGTCAAATAATACTATTTGGTCAAACAAGAACAGCCTAAAAGTTGGTGACGAATGATGTTGATTAGCTGCCTTCTCTCTAGTATATCTTTTCGAAAGTAGGGACTGTGAGGCACAGATAGCTCTTTGTGTAGTTTTGCGCGAAAATTCTAAAACAAACAAGCAATTTGTGTAATATAAATGTTTAGACTTTTTTTTTTTACTTTTAGCGTTTTCTTGTGTTAGACATTAATTTATTATGCTCTGATTTTTGAGTACCGTGCTAATGTGATTACTGAATAGTTATATATTAATTATTTTTTAAAGGCTTAGTAAAACGTTTTTCTTTGTCTTCAAAAGTATAAGACTATATAGCAAGTGCTGCCACTAACGCTTAACTTAGGAACTATTTCGAGTTCTCTTGTCCAATAGGAAGTCAATGTGGCTGGCCCTTGTTTCACATTTTCTTGGCACACCATATCTCGTAGCTCAATGTCGCTAGCTGTTTCCCTTTACTTTGTAATGGGTATGGCCCGTAATTCGACTGTGGAATCGCGGTTAGAATGTGTTTGTTTTATTTTCAGATACTACGGTAAGAGTATTGGTAAAATATTGTAAACTCGACAGTAATTTATAGTGGCGTCGTATAAATTTGTGAAGGTATAAAAAGGAATTGTGTTCTGTCAGTGTAATTATTAAGATATTCATTGTTAGTGAGTCCATCTAGCGTTTGGGGCAAATACCAAATCCAACACAAGGAGGCCTTTCTAGCCAACTTGTTTGCCGCCAGTTTGGCTAATCATTCCTTGAGCCAATCCCTGCTGAGGACGCTTGAAACGGATCACATGGGTTCAACATGACTAAACCAACATGGGGATTTCGACAGGATTATCGCCAGAGATGCCTGAAGATTGCAGGTGAAAGTTTTGGAAGATGCCAAGAAAGCTCAGATCACAAGGTGATTTAAAATCGTCTTTGTGAAATTGGCGTAGTGTTGATAAATAATTGACCAATATTCAGTGTTAATGTTATAACAAATTCAAACCTTGCTTCCTCTGAGAAGCTGGACTATACTTTATTACAGTCCTAGTATAGTCTAACTTAAACTTGCAATGTTTGACTGGAGTTTATTCTAGGTCAAATTCCATGCGAGTCCATGAAAGCTTTATTTTGGTATGGTTCTATATAGACACAATAAATTTGACAAAACTTTTCCCTAAGAGAGGTGGTGGTGTTAGAACTTTCATGAAGTTTTTTTTTTCACGTAACACACACAAAAATTATCTTAATTATATTTAACTTTTAAGAGATTTAGTATATAATATTGGGAAGATCAATGAGGTTTAGTTTGTAAACTTATTATTTTTTCAGTTTATGGTATCTATACTTTTTTTCATCGATTTTTGAGAAAATTGTATCACAACTTTAAAAATAAATTCAATTCATATATTTTACTGGAAACGAATAAATGCTGAAAAGAAATGATAAAATTTATTGAATATAATTTATTGGTAATGAATAGATTCTGAGATGTGAAGGCTAATAGTAATAGGCATAGAATAAAGGTCCCGATACAAGTAAATGAAGACTAAAGCTTGAAAAATTAAGATCTGACAGTGTTTAATTAGAGCATCTGCCCAGTTAACTTAAAAGTGGATTTGAAACTAACTTGACCTCAAGTTTTAAACAACAAAGCAAAAGTACAAAATTTACATATTATAAAGAATAGTGTGTTAGTTTTAGTAAACTAATTCAAAGTCAAAAACTTAACCTCTGCACATTCTCTTAATCAAAGATAATTGAAGTTTAAGCTGTAAAGAAATAACTGACTAATAATATTTGACAATGGAATGTGGCAATAGAGCACACACTTGGTTAACATGGAAACAGAATCAAATCATTTATTTATATTTTTGCTTCTTAAGAGCAAAAAAAGGTTAGGAAAGTAGGCACATGTTCATTAACCAGTTTGATAAGAATACAAAAACAAGTATACTTTAGTTTACCTCTTGCCCTTTAATAAAAAATGAAGAGAAATACCACAGACATAAATGCATTTGTTCTTTCAAGGCTGTCCTTGAAGACCCACACTTGAGAAAAGTAAAAATTTAAACCCACCCTTTAGTTTTCAAGAAATCATTGATTACACTCTTTTAGACTCGTGTATTGTGCTAGCCTCCATTACTGCTTATGAGAACTCTTATTTCATAAGTTAATAACATTTATTCAAACAAAACTCTCTTAACTGGAGCATAGCCTGTCTTTTCCATACCTTAAACATTCTATTATCTACAAAATATAGCAAAAAATAAATTGTAAGCCTTTAGACCCCGCAGGTGGGGAGGGGGGTTTATATTGTAAACTTAAATAAGATCACCTCTTACCTTTTTTTCTCTATAGAGAAAATAGATCTTAACCTATCCCTTTGAGATAACCCTTCCATCCCAGGAATCAACGTAGTAGACATACTTTTTCTGTGTGGTCAATATTTTGTTATTCTAAGTGAGGCTTAACTAGCAAGAGTTAATTACCCTTTTGATTCATAATTGATAGGTCTATAAAAACATTGTATAATTCTATCAGCTTTACTAATAACAGAGTACTGATTCTAATGCTTGTTAATCATGATGCCAAGATCCTTTTCTTTGGTGGGTTCTCATCTGTATCAAATGTGCAATCCAAAGTTTGATAATCTAAATGCACTAATCTACTATAGTTAAAGGTTATTTGCCAAATATTTGTTGAATTTAGCAATTGATACATGTTATTTTGTATTACCTCAACATCCACAGTATAGATATAAATACACAAGAGTTAATGTCATCAGCAAACTATTAATTGTGCCCCCATCAATATTATTAATGTAAATAAGAAAAAGCGAAGGCCCAAGCTCTGATTTACAGAGGCAATCCATTATTAACAACAATTTGCTTTCTTCCAGCTAACCACCCTACAATCTAATTAATTAGTTTTCCCCCAGCACCTACCAATGTATTTTTCTTAGCTAATCTTGTGTGGCACCTTATCAAAAGCTTTTTGAAAATCTAAGTACATGAAGTCCACACCCTTTCCATCCTCCAGATAACAAGTACATCCTTGAAAAAAGGATAACAGATAAGCAAGGTAAGATTTCACTTTGGTGAATCCATATTAACTTTAATTTATGATATCATATTACACTAAATGATATGTAAAGATTATTTTATTATGCTAGAATTCTTCACACTACAGAAGTAAAACTAAATGGATTATAATATTCATGGCAACTCATTTAACAGCTCTTAGAGAACCCAAGTGTGCACACAGCTAAGACTTCAATAAATCTTTGCAGACAAGAAAGTAATCCTGTTTAATGGGAAGCATGTCTAGTTTTAAAGATTGTTAATATGTACCATAAAATTAAACTGTTACTTTCAATCTTATATTTTCAGAAATCAAATAATTTTACTCAATACCAGGTCTGTTCTAAAAATTTGAATTTAGGACCCCTATAATTCTCCTTTTTTAAAAGGAAATAAATGTTTAATGTCATAATCTTTCTTTTTTAAACTATCAAATAATCAACTAACCTGCTTCTATACCCCTATATGATATATTCTTCCTATACCATAATGGATAACAAAATATACTGAGAGAGACGTAACAAACATTTTGAAAGAGGAATGGCTCATGCTTTGGAACTCAGAAACATACTTTTTCTTTGGCAAACATATTTTTCAGAAATAAGCTTTTGGATGATTTTAGACCATTTGAACTGTTTTAAACTTTTGTTTGCTAGGTTTCTTGATATGAAGAGCTATATTTAGTTTCTATCTTTCAGTGAGTGAAGTTTACATTTCAGAGGGAAGGAAAAAATGTTTAGCTGAAAACCAACTATGTACATATATATGCATATACAGGTTCAGTAAAGATACATACAAGCATTTATTAGAATTAGACTCGAGTGCTGATCTAGTGGCATATAACATTCTTTGGATATCTTGTTGTGTAGACATCTCTTTCCACACACACAAAACATCATCATCATAAACTAAGAATAATATTCAGTGTAGTTACTGAGGTACTAACATTTTGTAATACATATGCAAATTCCAGAATTATTGCAGAGTTAGAAAAGAAAAACTTTGGATATTTTAAGGCCAGCTAATTTTTAACCAGGATTTATGTTTGAACCAACAAGTAGCATCACAATTACAGTAGTAATTTATTGGATTGTTTAATTTTCTATTCTTAATATTATCGGGGGCTATGAAGATGTTTTGTACAATTACCGAACTCTTTAGAACTTTATTTTGGGCATTGAAGATTTATACTGTAAATAATATTCTTGTTAATTACATAAACTAAAAGGGATAAGTTCCTATTTTTCAAGATTTTCAAAGTATTTGTTCATAGTTTGTTTGGGAAGAATTACCAAAGAGTTAAAGAAGCAGGTGAAACAAGGAAGTTACAGAATTAGTAAATAAAATATGAAAGTTCAGGTTGTGCAATAAAAGGTCTTGAGCAAAGATAGCTAATATGTATATCAAGTGTAGGTAACTGCAGCATATAGTTTTGAGCCTCCACTTGCCGATAAGGGGGTGCTATGATGAGAGTTTTTATATCTTGCCAGCTCTTTCATTTAGGTTGTTTTGTTATATAACATTGAATCATTTTTATTATTGATTCAGGAGTGATAGGTGCCTGTGCTGTCTTTGCCCCCCCCCCTCCCCCACACATATATGTTGGTATTCTAGAAATAAGGTATATTGAGATAAAGTTTTACATTTGAACATTTTAATTTTAAAATAGGTTTTTCAGTAGATACTGACCTCTTTCATATAATTACCATTGGTCTTCATATCCTGGTCATATTCTTTGAGGCAAAACAAAATTATAGATACAAAGTAAATTAGTGAATAGGGATTTTGTTCAGTTGTGGGAAGTGTGCATGTGGCTGAAGCTCAGTGGACTAAAAATGATCACAGTAAAGTTGTAAAACATATGATTAATCACCTATCATTGCTTGAAAGATATTTTGTTGTAAATTATGCAGATTCAAGCATTAATTAGGGGAAGGGAGTAAATAGATTAGGGAAATCGATTAGGATTAATTCTTGGTTAGGAGAACTGCAGTAAATTATCATAAAGAAATTATTTACATTTCATTTTGTAACCAAATTTAATACAGTACTGAGGAAATTTTGCTGATATTTTTTGTGAGAAAAAGCAGTTTTGGCAAAGACTAGAAAACTGAGAGTGGTACTTCTGACACAAAAAATATTTATTCTGAAAAGGAAATTTGAAGGCTCTTTTTTGTAACTTTTCAAAAGTTACTTGACACTAAGAATTTTGATATTTGAAGGAGGATCCTTCTGCAAAAATGTAAACTTATCAGTTTTAATTTTTTTATAAGCAAGGTAGTAAGATCTATAGTGGGAGATAGTTTTGAAAGAGCATCTGAAAAGTTATATAATCAGCATGATTTTTAAAAATTTGTTTGTACCTTTTGAACAATGAGAGTATATTAAGTTCAGCTTTTCTGTATAATGAGACACCACAGTTTGTGTATCAGGAGTGAAAGAAAACCTTTGTTAAAGTGTTATACAGAAGGTTAATAAGCAAGCTGTTAGTGAATAGAAAATAAACTTGGTGATAATAAAGCAGACTGTGTTAGAATGATCACATCTAGATGGTCTGAGTTGTGGAATAGAACTTGATAATGCAAGTTTGTATTTTAAACATTAGGTTTGGAAGTTGATATCTGGACCTTTTTTGTTTTTGAATTATTTCTCAGTGAAGAATTATAAGCTTATATATGCCGATGGATTTGTGATGACATGAAATGTGCTGTTACATTAATTTAAACCTTTTAAAATTTATAAGTATATGGATGTAATGAGGTATTTCTAACTTAATTTATTGGTTTTGATGGGGTCATTTTTAAGTTTCTTATGGCTCAAATTAGAACTGAAAAGC